ATAATATAAATATTACCATGGAGAAATGCTCACCGGTGCCGATATCTGAAGGAATTTCCTCTTCCTTAATCTGCACTTCGATTTCTCCAAACGCCTTGTCTATATCATCTTCCTGGGATAGAACACTGACCTTCAGCTCACTTAGGTTCTTTGCCTAAAGAACAAAAGAAGAGCCTTAGTGTCCTTCACTACCAGTAGATGGAAAGCAAACACCAACAGTTACAACAAAGTACCAAGTGCTCTGCAAAAATAATTACACAACATTGAGATCATTGGCTAAGGTTCGTTAAATAAAGCCGTCTCTGTGTGTGTCTCTTATGTAATCCCTGCTGGAATAAAGCCGTCTCTGTGTCTCTTATGTAATCCCTGCTGGAATAAAGCCGTCTCTGTGTGTCTCTTATGTAATCCCTGCTGGAATAAAGCCGTCTCTATGTGTCTCTTATGTAATCCCTGCTGGAATAAAGCGGTCTCTGTGTGTCTCTTATGTAATCCCTGCTGGAATAAAGCAGTCTCCGAGTGTCCGGTACGTAGTCCTGCTGGAATAAAGCGGTCTCTGTGTGTCTCTTATGCAATCCCTGCTGGAATAAAGCTGTCTCTGAGTGTCCGGTACATAGTCCTGCTTGTCTGTTGATGTTTGTTCTTAATACTCACTGTCAGGTTGAAATTACTTGACTCTTCCCTGTCTCTGGTATATTAACTATAGCCTTTTAATTAACTTGTGTTAATGATCAAATGGCAGGAATATGGACCGTGATAACAGACCTCCTCACCAAGTAAAAGAAGTATAAATAATAAAAAAAAAAAAAGAAATGAAAAGTGTCAGAGTATGAAAATGAAGGTAGTGTAAGAACTACTAGCGATGGTATATATATAGAACGTGTGAAATGCACTGGATAACTAGTCAGTGTTTTAGGACTTGATACATCTCTCCTCTGTGAATGTGTAATCTAAGCATCCACACTGGTGAATTCATCTAATCGCACAGCAGTTGGTAATGTTTTTTTCTCTTTTAACCTGGACATTCTTCGCAATGTTTTCTGGATCTCTGAAATCCTGAGGATAAACTGGGCTGGCTGAAGCATTTCTGGTTCCAACTGCAAGAATTTAAAAGACAAATTTGGAAAGAGGTTAAACAATGCAGGAATGACCAGAGCAGAGAGACACTGTAAGATAATGCGGATAGAAGTAAAGAGATCTGAATGTGTGAATAACAAATGAAAGGACATTGCAAGAATTATTACCATATTTCTAAAGCACATACACATCCCATTGCACTGTATATGGGTACAATCGGCACAAGGAAAATGACAATACATAATGTCACTAACAAATACCGGAGGGCCCTATTCCCATGGAAAACGTGCAACCTAGGTGGACATGGAGAGTGAGAATGACGTTATCACAGAGTGAGAGGAAGGCGGGTATCGGTTAAGGGGAGTGTGTGAGTTACTGATTTCTTTGGGGAGCGTTTAATGGAAGGCAAGCTAGGGGAAAGTCTGGCACCGCAGGGAAGAGCGTTACAGAAGGAATAATACAATACCCTGAAAGTGAAACGTTCTACGCTATTAGATTGAGCTATAAAAATTGCATTCTGATTTGTTTCTTTGTACAAGATGTAGTAAAATACTGTTTTATCAGTTCACTTCTAAACCGCCTCCTGTCAGTGAAAAAGCCCTGTGTGAGCAAATGCAAATACTATTCACCTGTACAGGAATGTCCACAGAATTTCTTCTCCAAAGCATCCTCGAGATCACTAGTACTTGGCTCCGAACTGCTCTCACTACAGGAAACCACCTTCATGTTCACGTTGATCATGTCTGGTCAGATTAATGCTTGGTTATAGGAAATCCTGCTCTCAGAATCCATACACTTACTACATAAAATGTTCCTCTAGTGGCACAATCTATCCATATACACAGTGTTAACAAGACTGCAAACAAATCTACAGTTATCATGAAAAACTATCTAAAAATATGTTTGCTCTCTGCACCGGTCAACCAATATTCAGCAGAGTTCTCTGTGCCAACAAATTTGTGACCGGTGGTTCTCCTGCTCTCCGCCTCACAGAAAGATTTCATAAAGGCTCACCAAATTTTTTAAGAGCTTTATCTCTTTCCTCTGTCTTCACAATCTTGAGAAGATCCTTGTGGTCTTCGAGACAGCTCCAATTCTATAAAACGGTAAAGACAGTGACATCCTGAAACCTTACAGGAAGCTGACATATCCAGACACATCCCTTGGTTTTACTGTATGATGTCCCATTCCCAGCAGCCTCACCTCTCCAGTCAGCAGCTCAATGATCTGATTGGTCAGTTCCAGGATCTTCTGCTCTTTTTTTTTGCCCAGTTTTGGGGAACGAGATGGACAAATTACATCAGGATTCATAGTCTTGCAGCCAGCAGAATTCTTGACAACAATACAATCCTGTATAGTAAGACACTCATAAATATCACTTTAAAAAGGATACCCTAAGCACCATAACCAATACAGCATGCGTACTTTGGGACTATAGTCACTATAGTGCACTGTAGTGATTATGGCATTTAGAGCGGTTCTTTAATTGAAATCTATTGATGGGCAGCCAAGTTGACCAAGTTCTTTATTCTACAAAAACATTCAAAACAATCGCTATCGCTGGGCATCACACAAAGGAACTGTACTTATTTCTTTTTTTTTTGTAAATAAAGCTTTTATTAGCAGTTCAAACAATAACAGATAGCAGAGCTTATATCGTCAGTGATACTCGCAGGTCTCCAATTGCGTCTGACACAGGTACCGCCAACTCTAGATGAACCTTTATAAAACGTTATCGGAAGCGGATGACCGCTGGCCCACATCAGTGAGGGCCGTATAATTCTATAGCTGAACCTCAATCCAATGGTGAGTGGTGCGGTAGGTCCCAGGTCACGTCCTCGTACATGGGGAGTGAGAAAGGGGTCGGTTTGCGGGATCAGGTCCTATAGTCGTGCACCTGGCCTGGGGCTCCCTTTCCTGTTGTCTTTTCCTTAACTTTGGTGGTGCCTAGATATGTTGTGGGTTCTCTCCTGGGTCAGCTACCCCCTCTCCCCGGGTCTGCGTCCCCTCCCCCGCCGCGAGGGGGGGGGGGGGCACCCAGGCCAGCCGTCTCTGTCGCATTGCTTACTTGTGGTCGGTCATCGTTATCATGCTTCAGTCGCTGTCCACGTGTGGTATCTATGGTGTGTCTGAAGTGTTTCCCCCTTCGGATGGGGATGGTGTGATGTCTCAGTGCTCAGTTGTATCAGTCATCCAGAGTTGGCTTGTGTTTGCTGTTTATTGTGGGAGTTCCCACGTCATGGGACCCCTCTGAGTCAATTGAGCGATGTCTCGTTGGGCCCACGTCCCTTAGGGAAGTCGTGGTGCCTTCTCGGGCTCAAATATATCGTGGCCCTGTTGCGCCTGGCGGTCCCCGGCCTCGCCCGGGGAAAGAGAGAGGGAAGAGGAGGGGAAAGATAGGTATGGGTGGGAGTGTGTAAGGGGGGAGGTCTGGAAGGTGTGGGGCATAGCTATGGTGTGGCATGAGTCTGTCCTGACTCCCGAGTTAGTCCATCAGTTCAGGTCTGGTTGAGGTGGGGAAGAGGGTGATTGTGTTAAGATGCGCGTGTTGGTCCAGCTGTCTAGGATCCCCGTGGTGACCCATCCCCTATCCTTGTTGTGACGTGTATAAGTACCATGGCGTCCACAGTTCAAGGTGTTTGTCCCTCCTTCCAAGTATTTCAGCATATCTCGCCTCAGCTGTGTGGATCTCTTCTATTCTCTGCAGCCATTCCGTTTTGGAAGGTGGCTGGGTTTGCTTCCATTTCGCTGGGATCAATGCTTTGGCCGCATTCAGCAGATGTCGTAGGATTGAGCGTTTGTATTGTGCCAGCTGTCCCGTGAAGAAGTGTAGGAGCACAGCCTCTATGCTAAAGTCTGGTGGATCACCCAGAATTGTAGTGATTTCCCGCTGTATCTCCTCCCAGAATGGCTTGATCCCAGGGCAGTCCCACCAAATGTGGCGCAGTGTACCTCGCTGCGTTTCGCATCTCCAGCAAGTATCTGGAACCCCTGGGAATATCCTGTGTAGTTTTGCTGGTGTTCTGTACCACTGGGAGATCAGCTTGTAGTTCACCTCTTGGTACCTGGTGCTTATGGAGCTTTTGTGTTGTAATATGAGAATTTGCGCCCATTGGGCGTCTGTGAAGGTTCTGTCTGTCAATTCCTCCCACTGCCTCTGGAAGGCGTCGTTTCTGGAAAGTTCCCCTGTGCAATTGCTGGTATATGCCCGATACTCTACCATCTGCCTCTGGATAGCTCTGGCAGAGGTGTTCGAACCAGGTCCATTCTCTGTGTACCGCTTCCCTATTGGGCATATTGTGGTAAAAGTGTCGCAGTTGTGCGTAATGGAAACGGTGCATTACTGTCGGACGATCTGTGTCCGCCCAATCTTGAAGGCTGCGCAGGCTGGCGTTTGTCAGGACCGAACTCAGGGGTACATATCCCTCTGCTCCTTGCGTTGGCCACGCGTTTGCGTGTAGTCCCCCTCCTATGGTTACGTTATATGTCAGGGGGATCAGGGGGCTTGGCTGTGGCGAGATGTGAGCTTCCCTTCGCAGGGTGGTCCAGGTTTTCAGCGTCTGCGTCACTGGGGACTCCGCACCCAGGGCTTGTGTAGCCCCTGTCGGACGATGCCAGATGTATGTGTGGAGTGCTCTGTTTGTGCTTTCCCTGTCCAGCCTTGTCCATAGTTTGTTGGTGGGGGCCGTGTGCCATTCTCGAATTCTTTGCAGTACTGTCGCGTGGAAGTATCTCCGAAAGTCCGGCAGGGCCAGGCCTCCCCATGATTTTGGCAAACATAGTCTTTCATGCTTAAGCCGTGGTCTCCCTTCCTTCCATACATACCTCGTCACCGCTGTTTTGAGCCTGGTGAAGAAGTCCTGTGGCAGGTGCCAGGGGATAGCGCTGAAGCAGTAGAGGAGGCGGGGGAGGATATTCATTTTGACCACCGCTATTCGGCCTTGCCAAGAGATGTGGTCGTACGACCATCTCGACAGGTCCGTCAGTATAGTGCGTAAGAGGGGTGTAACTGTACTTATTTCTTGTCTCTTGTAATAAGCTATGTTACCATCATAACTCTAGGAAGGGGGGTGTATTGACTCAGTTGGGAATTGTGGAGTATTAACCAGGGAATTGAAAATTTGGGGCATGACTAGGGGTGTGAATTTGAAAAGTTCATCTCTGGCCTACAATTTGCATGTTCCTTGTTCATTATGCAGTTACAACCTTAGTCATAGGGACACTCCGGACCATAAAGCAGTTTATCTTGCTGAAATTCTTTGTGTGAAGAGTGTTGTGGCAGTATACCACAAGTAACCAGGTTGCCACCGTCAAGGTAGTCCTTACCCTTGTGTTTATAACCTCAAAGTGATTAAGCTCTCTTCTGCAATGTGTATAGCTAGCTCACCCAAGCACTAGTCGAAACTTAGTAGTGATTTATTGGGAAAATGTCACATTTCATACCTGCTGACTCAACAGGAGGTCTCCAGGGAAAACAACACAATTGCAACATCACTGCCGCCTTGGTGTCTGAACCTGAGTAGATCATTTAATTAGCGGCCACACACCTTGGCACCAGGACACAAAATACAATATAACGTTAGTTCCCGTGTCCACATCCCCACACAACCGGTGTCCCCAGCTTGGTTTAGAGCGCCCACGTAGTCCAAAAAGTGACCAGATCGGAGGTGGCTAGTCCAAGTTAGGTTGAAGTCCAAATTTTCAGCGTGTTGCGGCTAGCCTCCAATCTGACGTTGGGTTTCATGACGATGAGTAGAGTTTCCCAGTCACCTTAAAGGACAGCGCTTTCAGTGAGTACACAGTCTAAGTCATTGGTGTCATTTGATTCCTCGCCACCTGCTCTATCATCCCTCCAAAAAGCGTCACCATTGCTAGTCCTGGGCCATCAGTGACATTCTAGGGGGATCACGGCAACGCCGTGATTCAATCCAGATTTTAGAGTTTTAGTGCTGCTCCCAGTCAGGCGTTCTGGACCCCTGGCCGATGTGGGGAGACTCTAGGAAGGGGCTGTATTGGCATTTAATGGTGATTAATGTCTTTTATGAGTGGGGTGACAGATGGGGAGACTTGTACCCATCCTAAGTGCCAAAGTGGTCCATCACAAGTGTGCCCTCTTTTTATTCATTTTACAAAAAGTGCAGAATAGAAATTGGCACTTTTATAAATCGACCTTGCCTCATCCCCCTGGCTGTCAATCAGACAAGAGGTCCTGTTACTTCCTAGTTTGTTTGGCTCAGTGGAACTAAACTCAAAAAGCAGCAATTGCCCAGTGCTCCTGCCTCCATTGCCTACATTGGGGAGTTTGTGATTGGACAGCTACAGAAAGTCTGGGCAGGGAAAACAAGCTGTGATTTTTATTTCTTTTTGTTTGAGCAGTGGAGTGTCCCTTTAATAACCATGTGCCATTCCCAGAATCCTCACCTGTCCAGTTAGGAGGCTAATGATCTCCAGGGTAAGATTGAAGACCTTTGTAGTCACC